TTGTAGGATCTTTAACAAAAAAAAAAAAAATCGTATATTTGGTTTTCGTACCTATTGAGCATTGTTATAATTTGATGTCTAATGTATAGATTGTTTGCTTTATTTTATGGATATCAAAATACTAAAACAAGATGGTGAATAATAGCGAATCTCCAGTGAGATTTTAAAATGTTTTTTTCATTGATTTTGGTATATAACCCTTTTTGCACCTTTTTAATCTAGAATTTAAAGTCTTTTACGTGTTTATATTCGTCTATCATAGATAGAATACCCTCAGAGCATCCCTAACGTCTCAAGATCGGAAAATGTCCGGCCGCCAATGACCAACAGCTGATTCGCAGGACGAAAATCATAAAGAAAAATCCAAGAAGCGGTCAAATATGCAAGGATGAAGAGAGCAAAAGGGTGCGAAATGAGTGACGCACCGAGCAAGATATCAACGAGCTTGGTTTAAGATCGAGCGTCAGGTAAAGCGTGATGGATTAAAGTTAGAACATGAGACCCGAGGAGGTGAAGAGAGCTTAGTAACGATGGATCTTCTTCCGCCGGGAAGAAGATGATAATCAGGAGTTGAATTCGGAAGAAGAGGATAAACCATTTAAGCAAATCGTAGAGTTCTTGATCATTTTTATTGGGGTATATGCTTAACTAAAAAGCTAATTATATTTTTATACCTTTCTTTCTCTTCTTATTCTAATTAGAATTTTTTTGATCAAAAACAAAAAAAATCTAATTAGAATTCATAAAATTCTAAATCCTTTTTGACGGTGAGTCTTCATAACCAATCTATTCACTTCATTGTAGATCATGGTAACCTCTTCATTCTATCTATTCACTTGCTCCTCACAGTTTTTTTTTTGTTACACATAGCCAATTTTGGTGAAGCTGGTAAACGATATAACCTTTTGAAAATGTTTGTTTAAATGAAATTGTTTTGAAAACTATGTTTTACGTAAAGGTAGTTATTTCTAATGATCATTACCACATTTAAGAGTATAAAACTTAACGATTTTTTTGAGAAAAATGAAGAGGTTTCATTGTTTATTGGGATTAGATTGGCGTGAGAAATAGCAGGATAATCTCCTCCTCAACAACCATGATAAGTCTGAAACTCCATTAAGTATATACATTTTTCTTTATAATTCTCTCTTTTTGGTAAAGGATCCTTGGTATATAGTTTGTTTCCTTTTTTTTTGGTCTATAGTTTATAAACTTTGGACTTCACGAACGTTTACCATCTCAGGTGGCACGAAAGGTTGCTCTATATTTTAGAGCAAAGTAAGGTATTTGTCCATAGAGTTAAAGAAGAATATTCTA